AAAACATCTTGGAAAAATACTCTTCTCTTTTTTAAGGATACATGGCATGTAGTACAGAGCTAAACAGATGTTTGGACGTTCTTTGGCACGTAGTATTTTAAATTCTCAAAACTAACATCCTTCACCATCCCTTGTTGCCTAGGATGGGATAGATCTGGTAACTGGAGCTGAGTGAGATATGCCTTTAGTTAAACTCTTTTGACCTCATATTACTGCCTGGAAGACTTCATTCACCAGTTGTCTTTATGCAACATTTCCATTGTCAGGGTCACATGTCATTTTGTAGTTGATGTACAAATAAGCAGTCTAAGAAGACAGAGTCATTCAAAGGGTTTTGTTAGGTCAAATATTTTATGTTTTCTATACATATATATGCCTCTGCCGTTCATTTAGCTTCTTCAGGTTTTTTTTTTCCCTGCAGATACAGTAGCAACTGCGGTGTAAAGGACACCGGAGGTGGCCTTAAATCAGCTAGCTCAGGTATGAGGAACAATGGAGCCGTGACAGGCTGAAGCTCAGCTGTTTTTGATGTATCTTGCTTTGTGAATTTCCACCTGCTTGATGGCAGTGTTCCTGCACTGGCATAAATCGCTGTGCCCAAGCAATACCTCAACTTACTCAGGGAACATTGTTTATGCGTACCTGGGAGCAGTATTCAGAGGAGGAAGGGGTAACAGCATTGTAAATCACGTCAGGGAAGAGAACAGCTGAAGCAAGAAACTGCTGGTGCTATAGGAAGGAGCTGAGTATTGACTGAGGGCTCATAGAGGAACTGGTAGGATTTGGGAGTGACAAAGCAGGAGAGAAAGTGTTGGATTAGTATGGAATATTTCAATTTTGTATGGAGAGGGGGATATGGGAACTACCGTACTGCTTCTTTTTCTAGTCTGCCTTTATCCATCCTCTTCCTTCCTAATTCCATTTTTTCACTTATGGATCCATTATTTGTAGCCATCCTTACATACACAGGCATGTTCCTTCTACACAGAACTCTCTTGTCATCTCTTCCCAAAGAAACCTTGGGAATGCTGCTGTCACCCCTGCAAAGTGCCTTCTTTATGCAGGGCACTGTTTAAGCAGCACCCTGCATGGAGTACTCAGTTTTCACCTCAGGATGCAATGCTGTAAGCAGATGGGAGAGGGGTGCAGGGTCAGGCTCTAGACACACTGTAGATTTGTGCATCTATCAAAACATACTTTTCCTTCCCTCCTATCCCAATGATCGTTCAGCTACTGGAAATGTGTGTTGCTAATACCTTCAGCACACAGTATTCTTAATTCTGACAAGGTTTTAGCCTCTGTGACTTTGGTTTTGTCATCAGATTTCAAAACTTCAGTCTCCAAAATAAATGGACTTTTTCTCACAACTCGTTCCTCTCATCCTCCGAGAATGTTTTTGCGTCTGATATTGAGGGAGAGTATTAAACACAAGTGAAATAGATTAAGAAATGAATGTAAAAGAATCAATTCTTTTGAACTGTGGTTGCATAATGGAAATCGACTGCTATGAATGAACCTATGTTCAGAAGTTATGAACAGCAGAGCTAATGCACTGCCATGAGTTCATCTTTATTATTGCATTACACCTGAATCAATTGATAAAGTAGCTTTTTTTTAAAGCTAGGAATGGCACTTAATTGAATAAAAGTCAATGTAATTATATTAGGAGAATCCAACAGTACTGCTGACAGCGGAAAAGGGACACTACTGAGCAGAGTGCCAGAACTGGCCCGCACATTTCTGCACATCGTTTGCCTGACAGATATTATGGGCTGGTACATACTTTAACTAGATTACTGATTGCCGCTGCTGTAAGTGAGAATTGAATAAGGGAGGCATCTCTTATCGGTGAATCAGCAGGGTTTGCATCCTTACACTGGTCTTTCTCAGAATGGCCTCTGTCCATCTGGGGCTTAGTGGCCCCTCTTTAACGTGGTAATATATTCTTATCTCTTCATTCAGTGAATGCTGAAGTTATTTTCACTGCTGGCTGCTGTTTTTCTCAGCAGCAAACCAAGGAAATAGTAAGTGCAAATGCGTGGAAACAACGGTTACAGTTACCCTGACGACTTCCTACACTGCAGCAAATTCCCGTACCAGGGGACTGGGGCGGGCGGGGGGAAGAGGCAGAGAAATCATAAGAAGTAAATGCATGAGCACTTTATGACTAGTTTGCAGTTAGCGTTATGATGATAAGCACAAATGTGCTTTTATGGTCATGTAATAATGCTGTCAATGTGGACAGGACTTCACAGTAAGCGTTTCCTGTATTGCACTTACCAACTTTACATGAAGTTGTATGCCATCTGACACCAGGAAAGCAAGGGACTGTCAGGACTACTGTTTATCATTCATGTATGTGCACACTGCATGCATCTGTTCAGAACTCATTTGTGGATGATAATGGGGATGCTGCAAATATGATTTGATTAATTTGCTTCATGTTTTTCATATTGTGTGGTTGAGTCAGTATCCATCAGGACAATGGTCTAAGTGAGATTACAGCTGACAAAAAACAGCTTCACAGTCAAGACTTTTCTTAAAGTCTGTATTTTATTGGTTTCAGATATTATTTTCTTTTGTCTTTTTTTTAAAAAAAAAACCCAGATATGTCTGGATTGGAATGTGAATTTGTTCTCTCTCTCTCTCTCTCCTCCCCCTCCCCTTTTCTTTCTCTTTTCTCCTCTCTTCTCTCTCTCTCTCTCTTTTGTGATCTCAATTTAGCAAAAGATTAGAAAGCTGATCTTATCACAAGGTAAGCTCAGCCTTCCTAAGTGCAGTGTGGGGATATGCATAATTACACTTCTGCGCCTCAAAAAAGTAATGGTGCTGTACTTGCTTGTCTGAAAAGAGTATTTCCCATGTGGGAGAAAAACAAGGAATACTCTCCACTTTTTTCCACCCTTGCCCATACCTCTCAACTGTCTCTCATAAGGAGAGAAATTTTCCATTCTAGACCCTCCACTTACTGGAATAATTGCATCCCAAGCAGACACAATTCAATTAAACTGCAGTTCAGTATCAGTTTTATGTCAGAGAACAGTTACCTGCATTTGCAGGTGAGTGGGATGGATCACTTCTATTGCTGTTTTCTCTATTTATTCCCATAAGTTGTGTGCAAGAGATAGATGAATCACAAAGTAAGTGATAGAAAATTGCAGAAATTAATTTAATCTTCCTACATTTGCATTTTCCTTATTTATGTGCATTGTATTGCTGTGCTGTGTTTGGTACTTCAGCTAGTTGAGAGGTATGTTTCAAAGGGTTTCTTAAAACAAAAGCTTCCAATAAGAAAATACTGCTCATAGCTATTGTCCCCCTTCCCCCTTTTTTGTTACTGTAGGACCTGAACGTCTGTAAAATATTTGATCATTGTTATGTCTTCACATGCCAATTTTATACCTAGTGCTTTTTTGCTAATTAAAGTATTCCTATGTTAAAACTCTCTTTCTCTCTCTGCCACTTCCCCCACCTCCCCTCTTTCTTTTCCCTCCTACATTTGGGCTCTGATCTGCAATTTATAACGGCAGACAGACTGGTGAGTCTGCATGTTGTAAATTGCAGGTTTGGGTCCTTAGCTTGCAAAGAATGTTACGCAGTAGAACTTCGCTAATTCTTTTTTTACTGACTTGAAAATCCAGTCACCCTCCAAACAAACTGAATAAATATTTGTTTCCTCAGCAATGGTGCACATTCTGAATACTGAACCCCGAAGTTTTCTAATACTGAAAACTTTATACTGATTTCTTATTATTAAGCACTTGGACAAAATGAGCATGTTCTGTGGTCAGAGGTCTTTGATGTCTGTCATGTTTGTTGGTTGCATTGTTAATTCAGAAAATGCAGTTTTTCAGAGAGGATTTCCTGACACTGCTGCAAATCAGTGAGGTTCTACTGCAATGGATGAATAAAGCCAATGTCAAAAGTGGAGAGTAGAATGCAGTTTTTAAAATAATGGGCTGTTTTACACAGTTACTAACCCAAAGGCTTACATTGTTTGCGAATTTCTGGAGAAAACACTTGAGAATATTTTAACTTGCAATTTTTGGTATTTGGTCCACTGACATCAGTGACAGCTTTTCCAGTGTCTCTTGAGCACTCACAGTGACTTCAGCACCTACCTAAACCAAAGCCCATGCTTAAGTGTTTTGATTGATTTGGGGCAAAATTCTCATTGCCATTAGTAGCAGTCTTTTTACTGGAAATTACACTGCTTGGGTCAGTCAGCACTGCATCAGGCACAGTACTGGGAAGAGTACAGGGAGGAGTGATAGTGCCCTCCCAGAACGAGGTGACTTTGGCTAAGATTTTTAGAAACTTACATGTAGATTTCAGAGACTTGTCCTCCTAAACCCTTCAAGTCTACTCTGTCTTGGTTTGGCTCAAATTCTGAATCCCTTTATACCACAATTAAATTATCAGAATCAGGACCTCTGACTATGTATCATTCAGTTACCTTTATTTTTTTGTCCTCCTGTATTTTACTTACATAGTTATGTCAGTGCTATATATATATAAAAATATATATATTTATATGTATGTATGCATAAATATATAAATATATGGATCTAGAGATAGACATAGATACGTACACGGATATTCCGTATATTAATAATATTTTCTCTTGAAGCAAGGCTTTTAGGAAGGCCAGCAGGGATTCAGGAACCAAGAAGAGCATTTTGCATTTTCTGCTAGTGCAATTTATTGTTTTGTAAATATCAAATAAAAGTAGTCTAGCTGCTGCTAGGGACTAATGTCGAGGAGCAGTAGCTGAAAAGAAAAACAATACGGGGGAGGGTTAATTTGCTTGTTTTGTTTTGTCTTTATATGCAATTTGTTTGCTTATAACAAGACAGAATTTTCCAAGAAACATGGATAGGGGATATTTTTATGATAAATTATTGATAAATCAGATTTTTGATTTGGTGCTTGATGACTGTATGTTTAATCAAAAATACTGTACATTTTTTCCTTTTCTCCCTTCCCTCTTCCTTTCCCAGACACAGTGCTAACATAAACCTACACCGTAAACTGTTGACCAAAGAACTGGATGACATGGGCCTGGACACCTCACAGCCTTCTCTTAGTAAGGACCTCCGCGATGAATTTTTGGTGAAGATATATGGCGCTCAGCATCAGATGGGGCTCGATATAAGGGAAGACACCTCCTCACCTGCTGGTACTGAGGATTCCCATATGAATGGGTACAGCAGGGGCATGTCGGAAGACTATATGGTCCTAGATTTGAGCACCACCTCCAGCATCCAGTCCAGCAGCAGTATCCATTCCTCAAGAGAATCTGATGCAGGAAGCGATGAGGGCATTCTCCTCGACGACGTCGATGGGGCAAGTGACAGTGGGGAATCTGCACACAAAGCAGATGCCCCTGCCTTAGCTGTAGGTATGGGCACTGATGTCCCAGGATCCCTCATGTTCAACAGTGTTTCGGTGAGCAACGGTGGGATAATGTGTAACATTTGCCACAAAATGTACAGCAACAAGGGAACGCTCAGAGTGCACTATAAAACAGTGCACTTGCGAGAAATGCACAAATGCAAAGTCCCTGGGTGCAACATGATGTTCTCATCTGTCCGTAGCCGAAACCGGCACAGTCAGAACCCCAATCTGCATAAAAACATTCCCTTCACTTCAGTAGATTAGTTCAAGGATGGACACAGCATAATGCCAGCTCTCAGAGAGGGCCCATCACGTCTGAACTGCCATATACAGTCTCCCTTTATATAT